GTATATATATATATATATATATATATATATATATATATGTATATATATATATATATATATATATATATATATATAATGTGTATATTATATAGCCTACGTATATATAATTATGTTATGGGAATAATAAATAAACGCCAACTCAACGCAAAGTACGTAAGAAATTTTAGATGAGTTGTATGAACTGTACAGAGTACTCGAGATGCGTTTGTTACTAACAGTTCTGTCACGCTCGAAGAAAGTTCATTAAAGGTTCACCAGCATGTGTGTATCATGTGGATCGCGGAACTCTAACCAAACACACGTAAAATACAATTAAAACATAGGCTTTAATGATGTTGTAATAAGAGCAGAATTTGGGCTACAGCGGTGTTTTTAAAATCTTGTCCCGACTAACCACTAGATATGCTGGTTTTTGTTCCAGCCGAGTTCTTTAAGTAGTTTTGATAGAAGAATTCGTTTAATAAATTGTGCAATGAATATTCAACTTTACCAGCTGCATTAACTAAATACTGGCCTTAATTTTTGTGTTCAAATTGACACTGTGTTAAGTTATCGCTTAGAAATACTAAATCATTTTGATTTTCATTATTTATTAATAGTGGAGTCAATAAAACAGCGTTAATTTTAATTAAGTTTAGTTCAATTCCAATCAAGCTTATACCAACTGTTCAGTTCCACATCGTGAGTAACACCGTACTTATAATTCCATTCGAAATCACCCTGATTAATGATGAACGCAGCATGACCGAAGACCGGTAGCAAACAAGCGCTGGGACTTAGCAGTCTGGGTGCAATTACCGCCATATTGGTATCTTCATATTGGTAGCTTAACGTGAGCTCCCGCTTTCTAGTGCTTTTATGATTTCTACAACTTCCGGTTGTCTGTGTCATTATCGAGGCCGGTAAGTTATTCAGCTGTTAAGTTTAACTTGTGTATTTTTCAGATTAATTAATAGCACGTCGTGTGTCGACCCAATAACTTTAATAAAGGGGCATTCATTGGCTTGAATAAGGTTAGGTTAGAAACCGGACATGCTGTGTTTTATTTCGCAGCGTTATCTTCCCAGACAGCTAGATGAGGTAGCCAGCTAAATAGCTACGTATTTTGCTAGTGAGGTAGCGTTACACATGGTCGGAGTTAAGACGTTTTAGGTAATATCTTTACGCTATATAAACTTTTTAACCATACCAGGATTATGCGTACGAAGTTCAGGTTATTATTCCACTTCGTGTATTTAAGAGCGCACATGCTATCGAAGCTAGTGGAGATGGTTCGCATGTCGTTCGGCTAGATATTTTACACATAGAATACTGTGTGATGTCGTTCGCCCTTGATTTTAGCCACTTCGTTGCGCATTGGCCATCTGTAGCGAACTAGCGGAGACCAACCCTGAAGCCTATTGGATCTCGCCGTTTAGCCTGTTTCGTGGCCTGTACGTAGCAAAAAATAAAAACGGTCAGTTCCTTCAAGAGAGAGTTGGCGAAATCTAATAGACTTTAAAATAAATTAGTTATTGCACGGAACACACACACTCTCTCTGAAGTAAAAAAAATCCTTCTCTGTGCTGTTAAATATAACTATATAGACCAAATGTATACTGAAATATACATTTGAAAATTTTCAGTTGTACATTTTTTTGTGAAATTTGTTGAAAAGTGACCACGCTTGTAGCAATAATACCAAAATACTTGAATGACTGAAATGTAGCCCCTAGTTTCGGCTTCATTTACAGATGTTATATGGAAGTATATTAATGAATTCTTTAGATCCTGATCTGATGTGTCCCCCCCCCTCTTCTCTCTGAATTGAGTTAGTGAGACTGCAGCAGTAAGCAGGGAAGATGCTGGAGAATGAAGCAAACCTGCAGGAATATCAAAACGGGAGGAAGAAGAAAAAGAAGATGATGGTGTCAGAGAGTGATGGATGTCTTATGGAGATATCCTCAACATCAACCGTATCACTGGAACAGCTAAATGAGGGTTTGGCTGCCAGCTCAGAAACGCAGGCGGGGAAGGAGAAACATGGAAAAAAGAAGCACAAGAAGAAAATGGAGGGTGACATTGCTGAAGTATCTGCTGAGGTGTCTGTGTCTGAATCTATAACGGTAGGACAAGAAGAGGGAAGAAAAAGGAAAAGGCGGCGGAAACAGCAGGGAAAGGAGGAGGAGGATGGTGCCCCTGTGGTTTCGGAGACAGAGGGGGCACTGGTGAAGGAAAGGAAGAAGAAGAAGAAGAAGAAACGGAGTGAGATGAGTGACACTGCCGAACATGCTTCAGAGGTTCCTGACAGGGAGACTGTAGTTGCAGAAGAAAAAGTGAGAGAGAAAAAGAAGAAGAGACGGAAGGATTCTGAAATGGAGCAGGACAACAATACAATGGGTGCAGAAGAAATGGTGAAGAAGAACAACAACAACAAGAAAAAGCACTTTGAGAGGGAGGAAAACGGCGCTGGGGAAAGTTCCAGTATGATACCGTCAGATGATCTAAAGGAGCAAGGGACGCAATATAAGCTTAACAGTAAAACACAGAAACTGACCACTGCTTATGCTGTAGAGATGGACCTTGAGGGTGAGGAGGAGAACATCTCCGTCAGGTGAGTGTGGTGATTTATTAACTCAACCGGTGTGCTGGGAAAGACACGTGCTTGTTGCATTTAGCGTGAGAGAAACCCTGTAGCCCATATTTAAATCCAAGTGCACAAGTTTGAATGTGAGCCAGCATGACGGCTTCATGCTTTGTTTGTATGTCACATACGGTGCTCACAGAAAGTCTTGAGGTTTGCTTAATTCTGTAAGAATGTTGCAGATTTATTGGTTTCATGACAAAAGTTCATTGACAATCATTGTCTAAGATCTGCACTTACCTTCTGCATGGACATTTTCTTTCTATGAAGTGTCATGATGTTTTTGACTGACCCATTCAAGTTCTGTTCTTACCATTTTGCTGTCATTGCAATTATAATGATTGGCTCTCAAAGGATACTAAACACAAATGTTTGCTGTTTTATGTTATTGCAAAGGTGTTATTAATTAAAAAGCACCCATTGATGCTTCTTGATTAACTTTTTAACAGAATCACTATTCGGGCTTCAATTTATTTGTAGTTTAAATGAATGTTCTACTTAAAACTACTCTCTTGATTCTAATGTGATATATATGCAGACACAGACACACATATATAATTATGAGTAAAGTTATTGTTTGTTAAAAAACCAATAAATTTGCAATATTTTTTTCATTTACGCAAGCTGTATGATTGTATGTGACTATGTCTACTGCAATGGACTGGCATCCTGCCCAGGGTGTACCCCAGCCCAGTGCCCTGTGATTGGCTTCCTGCCCAGGGTGTACCCCAGCCCTGTGCCCTGTGATTGGCTTCCTGCCCAGGGTGTACCCCAGCCCTGTGCCCTGTGATTGGCTTCCTGCCCAGGGTGTACCCCAGCCCTCTGCCCTTTTGCTGTCTGGGATAGGCTCCAGGTTCTCCCATGACCCTGGCCAGGATAAGGAGCGGGAAGATAGTAACCAGTAGCATTTTCATATTCTGTGAACCTTCCTATAGAACAGTAGTTCATGTCACAATGTAGTTGTTCTGTTAATCTTTTTACCATTATATGTACTCTGACTGATCCAAGTCTTTCTCCATATTATTTTAAAAGTGCACAGAACTTCATGGATGCTAGCATGCGGAAATGCATTGAAGAGCTGAAAAAGTTTATCCCTAATGTGGAAACGAAATCTCCTTCTGTTATTAGCCACTTGGTAAAATATGACCTGTCGAGATTCAAGATATTAAGTCAAGAAGGTAAGAATGACTTAAATGGCTAACAAGCTGTATTGAAGGGTGGGAAGGTGCTTCTGTGGGAAGCCTTGTCTCACTTCTGGAGTGCAGGGTTCAGGTGTGACGGCTCTCTGGCTTATTCCCCCTGTGTTGTGTGGGAGCCTCTCGGCCTGCCGGCCTCCCCAAAGATGTGCAGTTACATTTATTGCTCTCCCTAAATTGTTTTTAGTGTTGTGTGTGTGTGTGTGTGTTTCTCTGTCTGTCTGTGTGTTTCTCTGTCTGTCTGTGTGTTTCTCTGTCTGTCTGTCTGTTTCTCTGTCTGTCTGTGTGTGTGTGTGTCTCTGTGTGTGTCTCTGTGTGTTTCTCTGTGTATGTGCGCTGTGCTTCTCTGTGTGTTTCTGTGTGTGTGTTTCTCTGTCTGTGTGTGTGTGTGTGTGTGTGTTTCTCTGTGTATGCGCGCTGTGCTGCTTGGGAGACTCTCTGCCTCCCTGCAACCCAACACAAGGGAAGGGGCCAAATGGATGGCTGGACTGAAGCATAGATCTGATTGCAAGTTCTTATTGGACAATAGGATCTAGAACTGGCAATTTTTCTTAATGGAAAGAGAAAATTGAGTATTTTTCTGTTGAAATCTCTTCCTTCAAACTTGTATTGTTTAGTTTTTAGTTTTGAAAGCCATATTTAAGTATGACAAACTACTAAGTGAATTCCGTTACGTATTTGGATGCTTCACTTATACATTCATGTTAAGTTTGCTTACATAATTAGTGCCATTTCCCCAACCAGATGCACATGTATTTACAGTCCTTGATTGCGATGATATGATTAATTTATAGGAGGTTTATAAAATGCCTGAACAAATCCCATACAAACTTGATTGTGACAAAATGGGTGCCCTAAGACACCATTCAGTAGATCCCTGTGGGACAAGTTGGGATGTCAGAATACGTACAGATTCTCAGGAGTGAAATTTCTTACAAGAGAAGCTCTTATTAAAAATGAGTGAAATTTACTGCCTTGGCTTCTTCCTTTAATCAGGGGAATCTTTTAAAAGTGGAAGATTCAGCGCAGAGGAGAATGAGAAATTATTTCGGAATATCAAGGACTTCCTGGCTCTCACAGGAATAAGCAGTGCAGCCAAACTCTTCTTCACCAACCGCTACCCTGAGGAAGCAGCACAAATAAGGAACATGAAGAAATTGCACAAATTCCATTCCCAAATCGGTGAGCATCTTGACTAGCAAGTCATTGTTTCTTGTGTTTAGATGCATTTAATTTAGTTTTTACCAGCATTATGCCTGTTTCTGTGAATTTGAAAGCGCTTTATCATGAGTGGAAAATGAAATCCCTCTGAAAATGAAATCACCCTCTACGTTTATCATTCCAGCTGTTGGTATTTTCAGGTCTTGGCATGAGATCTATTCCCGTGGAAGGAAGGTCTTTGATGAATTTAACTACAAGGGCAGGTGAGCTTCTCTGTCAACCAATCCACTTAGAGAGGATAGCAATATTCCCTCTTTATATAGAGACATTGAAGTTGATGTACCAAGAATCCCTAATATGTGATTAATTTTACAAAACATAGCTGAAATAATGAGTGGCTTTTAATGCGATTGCTGTAACTCTCCCTCAGCCAGCAAAGGATAACTTCAATACACTTGTCTAATAACCAGTAAATTCAGTTTTCATTTGTGGTATTTATGCATTGGCTTATTTCCTGTTTCAAATAGTTATACTTTGTTGAGAAGAAAGGAAACGTATACTTTAAGTGTCTTCAGGTTAGGCTAAGAATGAGTTTGAGAAGTCAAATAAGGCAAATGAAACTTGTAATCAGACTGTTTGAAAGACACTGGTGTTGGTGTAAGGTGTCTCCTGCTCTTCCATCAGGTATACAGAAGATGAACTAAAAAAACTGAATAAATTGCAGAACTTGTATGGCAATAACTGGATGAAGATTTCAGAACTGACTGGTCGTAGCAACATTTCTTTGGAGAAGCGATTTTCTCAAATCGGTTGGTCCACATCAAGTGCTAACTGCAGAGGCCTCTGCCAACTTTTATTGTTTGTTCTTGGTTCTTGGTTAATTTGACAGTGTAAATTATACAAAAAAATTACAGTAAAGCTTGAAGCTGGAGAATATTTAGCAGTAACGGTATGAGCAACTTGTGGCACATCTGCACGCAGTGGTAACAGTGACTTAAGACAAAATGTTCATTAGTTCAGTGCATTCAGTGAGGTATTTGCTTGAATGCATTCAATCAATGGGAAAATTATGTTTTCAGTTATTTCCAGATAATTTTATCGTGTCCACTGGTCCCAGATTTTGTCTAGTGTGACTTTATTTAAAATGGCAAGTCGAGTAAATGTTCCATGGCCACTGAAGCTCTGTGTTTGCGGGGTTTAAATAGCAGCATGAGCTTTCCTCTAAAGCAGTGTTTCCCAATTCAGTCCTCGAGGAACCACAGTTGGTCCATGTTTTTTTTTTTTTTTTTCCCCCCCTCCCTCCGAGCTCCGTCAGACAGATCTGGGGGCCAGGAGGGAGCAAAAACGTGGCCTGTCTGTGGGTCCCCAAGGACCGGATTGGGAAACAGTGCTCTACAGTTTCAACGCAATTCATTATCCTCTAATATTGTCTTTGTAGCACATAAGAAAGGTGAGTGGACAGTGTCAGAGCAGAAGAAACTGATGAGGATTATCAAAGAATACATGGTGACACAGGTGGAGCCTAAAGATGGCCCCTCTGGGCTCACGATAAGGAAGGAGAAGCTGTACAGCAACGTGCCCTGGAAGAGCGTGTCTGAAGGCATGGAGACTCGAAGCTGGGTTCAGTGTAGAGTGAAATGGTAAGCTCCTCCTTTGGTGAAGGCAGCCGTGGGCTCCAGCACCTTCTGCATAATGGTTGTCATGAAATTGCTTTTAATTGGAATAGGATTAAGCTCCTTACTCAAAAACACAATTTCAGGATGGCAATTCTGAAACAGAAGATGACATGTGGAGCTGATGTTTATAAAGGAAGAAAATCGCTGCAGGCAAAGATCAGGTTGATCCGTGCGTAAGTATAAACACTCGCTAATGACGGCGAAAACATGGAAGCTTTTAGATAGCGGCTCAGCCTGCAGAGATTTAAGTTTGTGATTTGCATGCTGCCATTTCAGATTGTCTTGCAAAAACTGTCTTGTAAAGTGTAATTTCAGGGGCTATCAGAGCTGTCTTATGATTTGCTTAGACTGCAGCCCTATCTTACCAGGTAATGTCATTCCAGGCTGTATGAAATGGATGTTGAAGATTCATCAGATGTGAAATGGGAAGACCTCACATTCACCATTGGGTAAGATTATTCATCACGAAATGTGTATATCGATGGATATTTAGATGCATTGTCTCTTACAAATACCTAAACTTAATCTTGAATTTGCAACAAAAACAATTTTGAGTCACATTTATTTACAGACTCTTGTTGCTAGTGTCTCTGGTCAGCCAGAGCGGGTTAAGGGCCCTGATAAAAGGCCCAATACTGAAACCATTCTGCTGACAATGTAATTTCTAACTAGTGCTCCTCATCGTGCTCAGTTTCCTGGCTGTTTCCTTAGGCCAAATGGTGTGTATTTGGAATTTGAGTTTTTAATTTTTCTTTCTCTTCTGATTCTTAAAGAGATGTTCCTCCTGCCTACATACAAGCAAAATTCTACAAGCTGAAGGTCACACAAGTGCCACTGTGGCAAAGCAAGTCTTTTAGTGGTATGTTTTTGTCTATTCCAGGGGTGGCCAATCTTATCCGCAAAGGGCCGGTGTGTATGCGGGTTTTCGCTGCAACTCCCGAATTAGATTACTAATTAGAGGACTGATTGGCTGAAGAGTCCTCACACCTGGGTTTGAACAGCTGACCTACAAGTTATCCCAGCCCTTTGCGGATCAGAGTGGCCACCCCTGGTCTATTCCCTTGCTTTTCCCTTGCATTTAACTTGCAGACACTACTTTTGTAATGTTGTGGTTCCCCCTACAGGTTAGTTTAGAAAGTGCAATTTGAGCAAAACTTTAAAAGACTTTTGTCCATTTCAGATATCATTGACTTCCTGTACAATAAAGTTCTACCTAAACTGGAAAAGGATCTGAAGAATTGTGAAGAAGAATCTGTTCTCCCCAAAGACATCTTCCGTCTGTCTCAGATCTTTGATGCTGATTAAGAGTGATAAACAGTCCAAGCTGCAGAAGAATAATGACCTTGTTATCCTAGCTGAATAATGACCATGTTATCCTAGCTGAATAATGACCATGTTATCCTAGCTTTTTGGTTGTAAAATGTGTTCTTTTGTAGCAGGTTCTTTTTTCAATGACAGCCATATTTAATATTCCTGACCATATTGTATGTACATACTGCTTTTTCAACGGTATTATCTTTTTATGTACTATTTTTGCTGTATCAAAATACATTTTAAGAAAAAAAAAACAAACGTGTGGATATTGAGGGTTGCCAGAAGGAACATCTGTTGCACTGTGAAGTCAGCACGAACCTGTGCTTCACTCTCTCAGGTCCCTATTTGCATGCACGTCCTAATTGTGCTTTTTGAAGAGCAGGCTTGTTCGTATAACAAGGGCTGGGCGACTCATGAACTGCAGAGAGCCACGCTAGAGAGGGGACAGTCTAAAATTATATCAGTTTTGTTCAATGGGCATAAAGTTAAATATCTATTCAAGAAAGTATGTCAAAGAACTGCAAAGTGCCAAAACGCATCTAAAGGCATGTGAGCAACTGCACTAATCGAGCCTAACAAACAGAGAGCTGAACTCTCTCAAAAAACACAATAATAGATCAAGGAAGCCGGGCTTTTCAGTGATTTGATGAATGCAAGTCGTTCTTCACTTGCCGAAGGTTTTTTTGACATTTGATTAATGCTTTTTTGGTAATGCTAGTTGAGGAGAAAAGTCAATCTGGCATTACACTGAAACGGTGGGCTAATAATATCTAGTAGTAGGCTAATTAAAGTATCAGGTTAGTCTCCCCGATATCTTTTCAGAGGCCAGGAATGCCCTACACAAGGTTGTTCTGATATGTTCTCGGTAAATAGTACATTTCTTAGTTTAGGAAATTTCTTTGAATTAAGAAAGGTTGTCCATATTTGATGTTCCAATGTATATGAATATAAAGATGCTACGAGGCATGTAGTTAGCGTCTCTAATTTGCCCTTAGCGTGCTCTTCCATTGTGGGGGATCGGCTTTTATTCCTGGGAGAGTTTTCCAGGCTCAGAGTGTCCTTGTACTGCAGAGGAAGTTCTACATGCTATGGGTGATTAACATAAAACTATACTCTAGCACAGGGTTTCTCAACCCGGTCCTCGGGGACCACCAGACGGTCCACGTTTTTGCTCTCTCCCAATTCCCTGCCAATTGGGAGAGAGCAAAAACGTGGACCGTCTGGTGGTCCCCGAGGACTGGGTTGAGAAACCTTGCTCTAGCAGCTTTGTAAGATATGAGTATTTTATACGTTACAACGGTGCTTTGCATAGTTTTAAGCTCTCAGCGTTAGTACAAACAAGAGACTTTCAAATTTAAAAATACTGTAAAATGATACTCTATTCTATGACTGTAGAAAGGGTGCAAAATGTGTCCTTAATAAACGTAACTTTATATGAATTACATTCTTGGGAATATCTAGATATCGTTTGAATTTGGCAGCTTCCAGTATGAAATGATTCACTCGAATCCTGCCCCTGTCCTTACCAGGATAGATGGATGGATAGAGCGCCTTTCTCCCCCGCCTCTATTTGGTGCCCGAGTCTCGCGACGCGCGGGCGTGGGTCTCACGGCCCGACGTGACGTAACGCAGAGCGAGCTCAGTGCGGGGCTCGAGCCACAAATTTTAATCGACAAATATTACATTAAAGCCATGGAGGACAATAAAGAGACGAGGGCAATGCGAGACACTCAGAGACGAGAACGTCAGGCTGGTAAGTAATACGGTCCTTATTTGCCAATAAAAAACTAACATATAGGCTAGCCTGATGTTAAAAATGCACTTAAAATTTTCTGTAGCGATACAGATGTGGCTTCAGGGTGTTTACTTGATAAACATACATTTCTTTAATGTTAATAACTAAATATCTTGCATAACTGATGTTATAACACATAGGATGGTTTTGCGACTTAACAAAAGACAATCTATTAGGAATATTTCTGCCTAGGTTACTTGTATCTTGCGGTAGTAAGCTAGTTACACGCCTCGGTGGCTCTACATGCCGAGGCCCGGCGGCGGCGGCGCTGCGGGGGATGATGCCCAGCCTCCCCATCGGGGACGCCATGTGCGGCGTCTGCTTTGCAGCAGAAGCGGACTTTCCCTTTATTAAATATCAGCATTTTCCATGGGCGGTTTTTGAAACGAGTGCGCCATTCGTCGGATGCGCAGTTTTATTTCTTTTATCAGCTCATTTGAATGGACCATATTTCTAACTTTAAAAGTATTCAAAATGCGACCCTAATATAACAATATAGTTTCCATGTCAAACGGGAAATATGAACTTAAATATTTTATGTCGTTTCTCCGTGTTACTTCTCAACTACGAAGTCACGGGCTGTACTGGCTCCCTGTGCCGTGCAGCCATTATGTAAACATTAATGTTGTGTTCCTGAATTTATCTGCCGGTTAAAGAGAATTATTCATATGTATGATAAAGGTCCCAATATTTAATTTCGATTAATTAATCCAAGTCCCCCCAATAAATAGATCTTTATATTTCACTTGTGTCTCCCCCAATTTCAAACTCCCTCTTATGCAGTTGCATGTGTGCATGTCTCCCTAAATTCTTAACGGTGTATACATTGTTCAAGTGAAGCTAAGTTATTAGAAAATATATTTTTAATTTGAGTGCGGATTGTTGTTTAGCATGGTTTAGAATAGTTGTTTTTCCTAAGCATGGATGCTCTGTTTGTCAGCTTGGGTAGTTACCCCGATCAGCCATAACATTATAACCACCTGTCTTGTATTGTGTATGTTCCCCTCGTGCCGTCAAACCAGCTCTGACCTGTTTAGGCCTGGAATCCACAAGACCTCAGAAGGTCTCCTGTGGTATCTGGCACCAAGACATTAGCAGCAGATCCTTTAAGTCCTGTAAGCTGTGAAGTGGAGCCTCCATGGATTCCTGCATGATGTTCTCAGGGTGACTGGGCACATTATCCTACTGAAAGAGGTCACTGACATTTCAGAGTACCGTTGCCATGTAGGGGCGTATTTGGGCTGCAGTAATGTTTAGGTGGTACTTGTCAAAGTAACATCCATATAAATGCCAGGACCCGAGATTTCCCAGTATCACACTGCCTCTTGCCTTCTTCCCATAGTGCACCCTGGTGCTATCTCCTCCCCAGGTAAACAACGGACACGCACATGGCTGTCTACATGATACAAAAGAAAATGTCACTTGTCAAACCAGGCCTCCTTCTTCCATAGCTCCATGGTCCAGTTCTGACACACGTGCCTGTTATCGGCACTTTTGGTGGTGGACAGAGGTCAGCATGCACAGGAAGCTGCAGTGCAATAGCTGCAGTAGCTCTCCTGTGGGATCAGGACACTTGAGCTGGCCTTTGCTCCCTACATGCCTCAGTGAGCCTTGGGCACTCATGATCCCGTCGCCAGTTCACCGTTTGGCCTTTGTTGAACCAGTTTTGGTAGCTACTGACCACAGCATACCAGGAACACCCCAGAAGACCTGCTCTGGCCGTCGTCTAGCCATCACAATTTGGCCCTGGTCAAAGTCACTCAGATCCTTACACTAGCCCATCAATTTCAAGAACTGATTGTCCACTTGCCTAATATATAATGGCACCCTTGACAGGTACCATTGTAACAAGATACTCAGTGTTATTCACTTCATCTGTCAGTGGTTCTAATGTTATGGCTGATTGTGCATATAGCAAGGTTAATATGTATAGTTGATCTAATAACAATGCAGATTGACAGTTAAACCCTTATAATATTCCCACACCTGTTTTCCATAAAGATAAACTGACCAGTGGCATATGGGGAGTGGTTTGTTTGTGTCGGGTTAAAAAAAACATCACTTTCACTTGCAAGAAGCTGAGGGACAGTGTGACACCTGTGATATCTGTTGTTCTGCCCCTTTAAATGTGTTTGTTGTGTTTCTGTATGTGCTGCAGCTCTGGAGAACCCAGACAGTGACATAGGAGTTTGCGGTTGGCTTATAGTGATGTTTTCCATCTTGTTGACTGTGCTCACCCTACCGATATCTATATGGCTTGTCATTAAGGTACCCTCATTGTCCCCAACTCTGGTATTTGTTTGATAGTAATCTTTGTGTCATTGTGGTTCAGCGTAACCCAGTATACTTTTCGTGCATGTCGTGCAGATTGTGAAGGAGTACGAGCGGGCCATCATTTTCCGTCTGGGACGTATCATGCGCGGAGGAGCCAAAGGACCAGGTAGACTACTATCCTCACTCACACCATGCACGCCTGTGTTTGCCTTCAAGTGCTGGCTGAAGAAAACCAATTGGTAAATAAGACGTTGAATATTTTGCTACAGAGGTGGCTTTTTAAATAAGTTATATTCCTGCTCAAGTGCTACAATTTTTAATTCTTAAAAAGTCAAAGTTAATCTGTCTTTAAAAAGTCTTAAGATTTAAGTCTAAAAAATTGATTTGATGACCCGAATGCACAAAAGTGTATCTCTGTAAAGTACAAAGAGGAGTTTGTCCATTGCTCCAGTGTATCGTTGTGGTCGCCGCATCCAGCCTGCGACAGCTCAGCGCGAAGATGGCGCTGTGATTTATAATCCTGCAGCTAGTCTCAATCTCACAAATGAACAGTGATGTCATGACCCTCCCTTGCTAGGGCACTGTGTTGTGACATGCGCTCTGCTGTTTTCGTGACATTGAGAAGCTTCTGGATAATTGTCTCGGCTCTGAAAAGGTTCCAGCTGTTGTGCTGTTAGAAACGCACCTTGTAATGGACTGGAATCTAATTAGCTGGGCATCCCCTGCCTTGTATAGAGCAGCTTGAACGCTAATGAATTTAGACTGTGGTTTTTTTTTTATAGTGTATCTTGTCCTTTGCACGATTAAGTAGGTCATGTTCATTCTATGCAGAAGGATGGATGGATGGATGGATGGAAGAATAGTAACCATGATCAGAATGGCCAACATTAATCAGAACATGGTTGTAATGAGTATGTGGCTTGTTTTGTCATGTGGAATTCTGCCTGTGAAAATACAGGCCTGTGAAAATACAGGCCTCTGTCGGTGGCTCTTTTCTGTGAGACCTGATGCTTCTTTAAGTACCGTGAGGCTGAGCAGTGAATGTGTGCAACTGGATTTCAGTGCAGTTCCCCTTTATGAAAGTTCACATATCTTCACTTGCGTCGCCTTTTAAGCTTTGTCTTGTACAAACAGTGTGCGTCGTCCACACAGTCTCGCTGCATTACGCAAGCAAAGGCCCTCACGCTGATAACCGGCATTTTTCTGGGAGTGAGTGGGTTACGGCAAACAGGCAGTCATCCTGTTAACACAAAAGGTCACAAACACTTAGCATTTCGCACAGGAATGTTCTCCCGAAGGAGTCTGCTTACACAGATTTATCAGATAGCATTGCATTAGCAGAAGGCTAAGAATGTGTAGAATCTGAGAAGGTTTCAGCGGCTGCTGTCCAAACATATCATTGAGAGGGATAGTCTTCTGGAGCAGATATGTGGTTTCTTCTTGCTTGGGTTAAATCGTTCACTGTACCGCTGTGTGAACTCCTTGGGGGGGGGAATGTGTACTTTCCAAGGTTAGGTTCAAACATGACTTCTGTCCTTATAGCTCCTATGGAGATATAAGCATATACTATAATATAATATCATGAAATGCAGAAAGCCTGCTGCAGTACTTCAGGAATGCCGTTATCAGCATTATCGTTATTACTGCCTGTCTTGTGTTGTTATAATGTTTGTGTAGCTGACTGAATAGCAGGTTGCTTTCCAGTAATTTGTGGTCTGCATCTTTGTGTCCCACCCAGGTCTCTTCTTCATCCTGCCCTGCACCGATAGCTTCAT